GGGGGGGACACTGTACCCCCCCATGCTTCCACCCACCCACCCCTCACACATACGCGTGCATCTCACACATGCACAGCAGAGACCTGAAAATCAGCAAGCCGGTGGGAGGCATGTGTACATGTGCAATGGAACTGAACTGAGTGACAGCTCTTCTGCCTGCAGAGAGAGCTCCGTGTGCCACCTGTGGCATGCGCACCATAGGTTTGCCATCACGGACATAGAATATTTGCCAGTAGCATTCATAATGTTCCGCATTCAAATCATGAAATGGGCTTACCCACACTATTAGGTTCCCAGAATAGATGACTAACCCAGGTTTTTAATGCCTTATAAAATGCCAGCAGGGTTGAGGCAAGTCTAATTCCAGGCGGGATGACATTCTGGAAGACAGGTAGGAAGGCAGAAAGGCTCTTTTCTTGAGTCCTAAGCATGGCATTTTCTCATAGCCAAGATCTGATGCATGCCTCTCCAGATGGATCTAACAGTATGTATAATCACCACTGGGGAGAGATGGTCCCATTAATAACTTGGCCTCAAGCCATGAAAGGCTTTAAAGGCAGCCACCATCAATGTGTTATCTTAATCCTTGTGTTCATGTAATTGCCTTTGAGATTATTGTATTATCAATTAGAATATAACATAGAGCAATCAAGGATGTCCCTTTTCTTCTCTACTGCTTAATTTGGTAGTAGAACCAATTTGGTATTGGCTATTAAGACAAACATGAAATTAATTTCTTAACTGAAATTAAGAAATTTGCTCAGCTGAATTTGAATATCAGATCTTTATTTATTTATTAAATTTATATGCTGCCCATCTCACTATCCAAACCCCTTTATCTAAACTTACAGAAGTGGCACAGTTACATGATGAATGTTTTAGATATACAAATACCAATCAATCAGATTCTGATGATTATAGGGAACAAATTAAGTTTTGTATATTGTCCAGAAGCTATTAAATATTATTTAAGATTTAAATTATTAAATTATTATCCCTAGGAGAAGACCCTAGATGAAATATTTCAAAGGTCCCACCCAGATGAAAGAGATTAAGGGATAGATGAAAATATCCCCTAGGTTTGTGGGAAAGAATTAATACTGAAAAATGTACATACCAAGCACACATATATATACACTTTAAAATCAATGTCTGCAATGGTTTCACTTATATTCTTTAAACAGGTTGATAAATTAATGGTTAAATGTGATACTGGGAGAAGCAAATGCTCATAAACTCACTGTTAAAGATACAGCTCTATTATGAAGATGTCACTTTTAATCCTATTGATAACTTTGGGTTTATTTATTCACCTCAATCATGCACTGGAATAGAAATTAAGTTGATTAGTTACCATTGTTAGGTTAATTTGAGAATAAGTATTTAACAGCAAGTTCTTGATTCTAACATGTGTATCAGTGGCACTTTGATTACTTTTCCAGCACCAAAGGCTGTCAGACATATCTGGATCTTAGTGGGCAGAAAATTCAAATTGATTCTTTATTTTCATGAGAAACTGACATTGTTGAGCAATTCTTATTTAATAATGGCTGGCATTACTGGAAAAAATGGCCTCACAGTGGGATCATTATACATAACTAAGTCTTACATAATGATAACTTTAAAATGTTTGAGATTTTACTAAAGGAGGGTAATTTACTTCAAAGGTTGAATAGCAATATATAAAATAAGCTGAAAAAATTGCTATATACATTATTTGACTCAATATTCTCATGGCCTCTGAAATTCCTGGGTCCCTGAGTCTATGACAGAAGCATTTTACAGGGACTAGTTGTTAATTTATTATCATAAAAATTATAAAATGTTGATAAAATAAAATAAAAATGGGACAATATATAAAAAATATGGAACAGATGAATCATAGAATCTTACATTGCCTATTCAGTGGCTTCTGGCTTAAAGGAATGCTAGATGTTACTTCTGACTTCGAAACTATTAACTGAGGGGGAAACTCTAGGAACTACTGGGCTCCTCAGAGAATATTAGAAAAAGTTGGTTCTTATCTTTTCTACACTGAGATACAATAAATTTAAAGAAACTTTGGTAGATAAATTGTGGGCATGCCCAATTACAATTCTTTATTTGTCAGCTATTACAACTATGGTTAACCAGATTCTTGGAAGGCAGACTAAGTTTTAAAAAGTTTAACTTTTGCGTTTGCAATTTAGTGACTCTTTCCACATAAAAAACTTGAATATGTTGGCTAATGTTGTACAGTGAAACTATGGCTATTCTGGATAGACCATGTCACTTCAAAGGAGGGTAACACACACACACACACACACAGTCACACACACACAAACACAGGGAGGAGGGGAGGAGGAAAAAAAGAGGGAGGGGACATGGACATACACACACACACACACACACAGAGAGAGAGAGAGAGACTTTATATCTGATTTTAAAACAGTATTCTGAAAGTTTGACAATATTTGATACACAGAGATCATGTTTAATACTTTGGGAGAAACAATGATGCTAATATGTGACCAGGTTCTGTCACATATGTCTCTGTTTACGATTTTCTATTTATTCCTTAATACGAAGAAGGTGAAGTTTCCTTTTATAAACAGTGTTAAAGCTATTTTAACCTCAAAATATGGAGAAATCAAATCACATGCTGCCAGATTTCAGCAAACATGCCACTGAAATTCAGCAGTGCAGTTGAGGGATAGCCATCTGGGGCACCTGCAGGGAAATGGGAATATTAAAAAAAATCAAGATGGCATCAAATGGCTGTATCTTTATGACCTCCTGATTCCTGCATTGCAAACATTCCTGGGAACCACCAAAGTAGTTTGAGGATTCCCAGCAGACCTGGGGACTCTAGTTACTCATTCCTATCTTATAGGTAAGGAAGTCCATTTTTTACCATTAGTGGTTTCCATAACCATACCTGCACAAGTCATTCCAGTGATCTCAATCAAACCTGCACTTTTTTTCTATGGCAAATGTTGGTATACAGTGGTTTCTATGCCATTTGAATATTATCTAGTCTCTCATAAGTCACTTATATAAACAAGTATTGGTATATTCAGGAGTATTGGCGGGTTCTGTCAGAAAAGCAAAATGTATGTTCCAATTATGTTTTTTTTTATATTTTCCCCACTGTAGAGTTGAAGCATTCCTTCCCTCCTTCAGTCATCCTAAAGTTATATCAGTATGAGTTTTGCTGTCCTAACTGTTGGTTCCTAACCTGTTTATAAATTAACTCTGTTTCAGGATACTAAAATCATTAACTTCCCTCCAAAGTAATGGATGACAAAGCATAATGTTTTTTACAAATCTTGAGGTTACTTTTGAACATTATTGGTATAAACGAGAAAACCACAGCTGATGAAATTAGGCTCAGAACAACTAAATACAAGTTAAGGTTGCATCACTCTTGCTTGGAAAAGAGATGAAGAATATCTTGGGGGCATTAAAAGATAGCATTTGAAGTAGGCCTTGCCAGGTGCCCCATGATACCGAGACCAAAAGTTGAGTTCAGGAAAGAACAAAGAGATTGTTCCACATCTCTTTGAAGAGAGAGGATAATAGGACCAAGGAAACATGTATCTATGGTACATCTGAAAACTGGCTCTTTCTCTGTGCCTCTTCTAGGATGGATGGACTACTGGATGCAGGTCCAGTATCCTGCATGCATTTTCCTCCTTCCTTCTCCACCATCGTTCCAACCACCTTTTAATTGTTATCAGAAAAGAAAGTCGAAATATCAGTGTTCCTACTTGGGAAATTGCAAGAAAAAAGGGGGTATTAAGACGTACGAGATGGGTTGAAAAAATATAAGACCACCAAGAAGTCAGAACAGGTGACTAAGAAGCTGGTGAAGGGATGGTGCATTCAAAAATATATGAAAAGTTACATAACTGGGGCTCTGTTGCCTAAGACCTCCTTAACTTCCACAGCAGCCCTGCCTCCCTCGCTTCTCTTAAGTATTTTGTCTTGGGCTGTGACAACAAACTGCTGTCATTTCTGATTAAGAACAACACTCCTGGTCTGACATAATTACCTTTTCCCAAACAATAGTAAAAGAAAAAGTACCTTACCCTTCACATTTTGGTGAATTTGGAGGCGTACTTGTTGGATCGTCCTCAAGGATGGTCCTGAAGTGTATTGGGAACATGCCTCCTATAACATGCATGGCTTCCTCAGCATCTACATAGCCACGTAAATCAAATTTCCCCAGGAGTCGGCATTCTTCCTCCGGCTTCTTTGGAGCCTGTGAAGTTACTGGGGTGGGCACATGCTCCAGTATGAAGAGAAATAATCCTATGCACAATAGCCACACTTTTCGGCTAGCCATTTTAACTCCGAGCTGCTGGAAGAAAATAATAGCTGTTTTGAAGAAAAAAAACCAGAGGCTTTTATGAGGCTCTCTCATGTTTATGACTCGCCAGCCTATAAAGGAACAGGTGAATTCTCCAGAGAGAGAGAAGTTGATTCTTCTTTGCTGCACAGCTGTCAAGATGCAGACTCACGGCTGAGGAAAGGAAGGGACAGGAAAAAAACCTTTTTCTTTTCAAAAGGGAAAGAAAATGTGCTTTCTTTTTTCCTTTATTTTATTCAAAACTGAATCATTTGTACTATGCCATGTATTTCAATATTCTGTAAATAAGTGTGTTTGTGTATTGCGATTTCTGTTGTTTATATATATCACTATTTTTGTTTGGATATTTATCATTAATAATATAGAATATAATAATCATTAATTATTTTGAGGAATTACCCAAAAATATCACTTGATAGGGTCAAGAATCCTTATAGGC